TGTGATGAGATGAGTCAGCCACACTTATTCCCCAAACAGCCATGTTTTCCACGCCCCAATACTCTCTGGACTACAGCCGCTCCTCCGCCTGCAGACTCTTACAGCCTGTTGCATCTTACAGACTCTTACACCTCCCCTCATTCCAAAAAAATCCATCCTTGGAATTAGAAGTGGGGCGGTGAGAAAAGAAGAAATCTCACCTTTTGTTCAGAAAACGAGAAGTGAGCCGTCTATTCTAGGAGATCTGGAAAGCCGCTGTTGTAGTAACGGCCCTGCGGTTATTAGCCCGTTGGAGGACATCAGACCAAAAGGACAAGTCTGCCAAAACTTTTCGTGACCCAAAACAAATTGGTCATGGCGGCATCTGGACAATGCGACGTTGATGCGGTGCAGATCGTTAAGGAACTCTCTACGCGAGGGTCGAAACCTGAAGATGAAGAACCACGCATGAGGCACTATCGAAATGGGCTCGGGATTGCTCCTTGTAGAGGACTGTGTTGGCGATTGACGCGGGCTGAACTTCTTGCGTAGAAGGCTGGTGACGATCTGACGACAAACTTCGGCTCCTGCTGAGTTGCTATGCGAACCACTAAGCGACTTGGTTGATTTTTAGGGACATCTACGAAAAAGAAAGGCAAGAGTGGGTTCGCGCATCGAACTGATGACTAAAACTTCAGCTGATGACGACTGAGTTGGCGATCTTCAGCCTGAGGTCCATTGAAGGGTTTGTTTGGTAGTTCGTTAAAAAGCGAGCTCGGAAGGTCGTCATTAGAGGAACAACTGGAACTCTTCGTTCCAACAGAATGTTCATCACGCTTTGTGCGCCGAATTGTGCCGGGTTGGATGAACGCGGGTACTGGGCGTGAGGTCCTAGTTGACGTGTATCGCCGATATAAATGCGTCAAATCGGTAGAAGGTGAGTGGCCAAAGCAACCAGGGTAGGCTCCGGAGTTTGAGAAGCTTCGTCGCCCATGAGTGTAGTGAACGAGTCGAACCAACCACAGAATATACCGCCTGTGGAGATGGAGTTGAGGAGAGCTGCCGTCGTGATGCAGACTACTGCGGGGAAGCAAACTTCAATCATGATCCTTACACCGTCCTTTGTCAAATCCGAGATTTCGCGCTCTACGAGACTATATTCGCCACGTTTTGCTTCCGACAGCCCTGCAGTAAGGTCATGATCGAACACGAACCTTTCGAGCAGTTCTCGGCCCCTCTTGTACTTGCGGCAAGTTTGGAGAGAATCCTAGGAGAGTCCGTGTGCGTTATCCACTGGAAGGCGCTTCGAAACAGTTTGTAGTTCGATAGGTGTGTGCGGGAGACTTTTGATAAGGGCGCTCTCAGACACATAACGAAGTATGTCGGAGTTACGGTAATCGTCTAAGCGCAATAAGGTGTCGGTAAACTGCACGACTGCTGTGCTCTTTGATTTGGTGGCTGGCGAACTGCTTCATTGTTCTGTGTGATAGTTTCCGAAGCTGCATCACGGAGTGCCTCCTATCCTTGACATGCAGCACGGCCGAATCGTCCAATTTGGAAAGAGAGTTATCTAATGGTGCCGTAACGGAACCATAACCGACGTTTTCGATGTTAGGAGTAACCACTCTAGTCTCCAAGTTACTACCTTGGAATTCAATTTCGGGCTCAGGGGCACCTGCCCCACTAGATGGCGGCGACCGGCGATGGACGATGACTGGCTGCGAGTTAAAGGCATCGAGATGAAGAAGACCGAATACAAAGAATGAAGTTAGATGACTCTCGTGAGGTTAAGTGGTTTATATATCGCAGACGGGAGGCGGGGAGGTACTGTGGTGGAAACACGAAAAGAATCACTGCTCTAGATGGTGCGGTGGGAACTGTGTTACCCCACAGTAAAATGAATCCCTCGCATTCCTTTGATGTTTGCAAAAAATCCGTGAGAACTCACGAAGTCGGAGCTCCGCGAAATGTCAAGTATCCGTTATCAGATCTAATTTTGTGGGAAACGACTTGAAGCTGTAAACAGCTTGTGCGCGAGACTGTCAAGCAGATGGTATCTTATGGGAACGGCAAGAAAAGAGCCGCGCCGGCTGCAGACAAAGAACCGGGGTGCGGGAACGACGGCGAGCATCTGTTGCGCTGAAGAGACGGCCAAGATACCATATGATGCATTCAGAAAACAGTCTAGTCTTAAAGTAGGTTGAAGAAATTGAATTTACTCGATCTCATCGGTGTTGAGGATGTTAGTAAAGTTTAAGTATTTATGTTGCACATTGTTCCTTTCAAAAAAAGTAACTCTTAAGGTTAATATGGCATAATTGGTCAGCAAATTANCAGCATTCATCAGCTTGTGTGTTTGTTCAGTGTAGTGCAGTGAAAAGCATTCCCCTTTCCTGCTGAAAACAGGAATAATTCTAATATAATTCCAAGTCAAACCTTCAAGGTTCGCATTCGGTGATGCATTCTGCATCAACTGGTGTTTTGCGCGCCTGTACTTCTCTTCGCTAGGCAGACGTACCCACTTCTACTTTACTTGTGTTGTTTAAAATGGTGCAAGTCAACAGGTATTGAAACATCATATCTGGACCTGGGTCTTACGCCCTGGGTTCGTGTTTAGATCAAAGAGGCAACTACTTTGGCCCGCCCGGGAACACTACGGTCGGTTGCGTTGCCCAGGTTGACTGTGCACCTTGTTCTATCAATATATATTGTTCAACTATGTAGTGATTGGTGCAGTCAATGCTCCAATCATATTGTGGGTACATGGCCGCCCCTTGCCATTTTGATATTGGTTTGGCTTTGCATTCTCACATTTCGCTTTTTTTCTCTTTGTCCATTTCGGCTAGTTAGGGGAATGTAGCACTTCCTTCTTTGACTGTGGCATGCTGAAGCTTGTGCTCGTGAATTTTTGTGTTTCGTTTCTGTTTTGCTTCGCTTTGTTTGAGATACATACATACATTTGCCTGAGTGCTTTGGTGCACCATGAGTGCAGTAGATAAATAAATAAATAAATAAATACGGCCAAGATGAAGAGAACGCTCACGCTCACGAAACTCCGAGAGTACCCTACACGACAGAAGACCGCCGCCTTCTAGACCTCATAATTCTCCAAAAGCTAAGCTTCCTGGCATAGATTTCGGCGTTTTCTTCGCGAACGAAACATGCGGGTTCGCGCTGAGGCGTGAATACTCTATTTCTATGCTGCGTATCTGCCGTTGGTTTCATCTGCCCCGCTATAGCGGCCAATTCATAAAAGCATTTAAAGTAAGTAAATAAGCAAAACTGCAAAACCATAGTTACCAGGGCGACCAAAAAATAGCTCGAGTTCAGTAAATTTCGTTATATACATACAGTAGCGCTCAAAGGTCTTCGGTGAAATGGTTCTTCAGCTGCACTTTTCAGTCCTAACTCCTTTCCTACTGTATCTAATCGTGCGGAATTTCTATAGTTGGAGCGTGGATGTATTGTGAATATTTACCACTGTAAACCTGCAAATTGTTCATGCTCTATATATTTCAAAGGGCATGAAAATAAAATCGAGTGGAAATACAGATGATGGTCCTTCTAGAATCTCTTTCCTTTTTATCATGTCTAAAGTGTACGAGCGGCAACGCCGAACACAATAGATTAGAAAAACGCACTTAAGGTTCGAATAAGTGGAGACGTAAACAACTTTAGTTTCAGCAAAATCTGCTACCGCAACAAGCACCTTGCACTATCTGTGGATATTGCAGCTTCGCAGTCAAATAGTGCTGGTTAGGGTGAAATATGCTCTAGTTAAACATATCCAAATTTCGCGTCTACTAAGAAAAAAATTATGAACAAAAAAGCGTCGAAGCATTTCACCAAAGACTTCTGAGCGCTACTGTCTATAACTACTGGCCAAGAACGATTTCTCACAAATTCCTGCGAGTGAAAGAAGATTACCTATCATAACTACGTGGTAATCGATGGAAGGCAGCCGCCGCTCACATTGGTCAAAAGGTCATGATCACAAAAACGAAGCTGATCAGTTTCGTTTTCCCGTTGAGGTTCATTGGAACCAAAGAGACTACTTACCTCTCGCCTATCCTCCTGTTGTCAGAACTCGTCGCTTCCAGTAATTTGGTGCGGAATTCCCCGCACCGCTGACCTCACACTTCTGCACAACACATGTAAGAATATATCATTTATCAGTAACTGCGGTGAATAAAAAAATCAGTCTTGTCGTACGGAGTATAGAGATCAGTGAGTCGACAGTCGAGGCACTATAGCTTGGAAGTCGTGGGGCCCAGAGGGGGCGAACAGAAGGTGCAGTAGCAGTGAACGGCGAGCTTGATGGTGGGACGGAGACGTCGTCGACTGTACTCTTCGAGAAGCTGGCGGCAAGCCTTAAATAAGTGAGATGAGATGAGTCGTGATACAGTGCGCAGAAATTCCTATGCGCTATGTTAAGCAATGCCGCACAATGAAAGGAAAAGCAGCTCTAATTGTTCTACGATTCCCACTTTCGACTAGAACCCTCCTCAGCTGATAAGATCTCACTTCTCAGACACTTCCTATTCAGACAGCCATATTTCTTATTCCATTTATTTATTCTATTTCCCCAAACCCTTCGGATTACAGTCACTCCTCCACCTACAGACTCTTACAGTCTCTTGCATCTTACAGACTCTTACCACATGTTAAACTACATATAAAATCGATGAAAACTACGTTTTCCTCTACTCCGGGATATGTCACATCAAGATGTTTCGCAATCGGTCTGCGGAACTCTACGAATGTCTCGTTTATGTATTTGCGCTAACTAACATAGTAGTTCACTCGACCTCATCTCGCAGTAACTAAAACGCCTATGCTGGTTTGCGTACAAACTAGGTCATATTTGATCAAATACCATGTCAAAATAAATCTGTATCAAGTGAAAGCGCTTCTCATTTCACAGGAAGAGTTAACGAAAAGTGGTAGGTCACATGCTCATAGTGCCCCAGTATGATGGAATTAGAGAGGTCTTCGTGCGAGTTTCTGAGAAGGCTTTGCAGATGCGTATTCTCCTTGTACTCTGGGCAGTCGGAAGCGTACTTGGCGGAAGTAATCGCAAACGTGTAGCAATGGATAGACATGAGGACGACTCTGATAGCGACGATGACCGTGACAGAAAGGGTGAGCTACATCCTCATACTTACTTGTGCTTATACTAATACGGCTCGTCTTCACTCATGTGAGGGCACTAGCAACAAACTATTCGCTTGTCTTTCGCGATCGCCATCCACGGTAGATGAGTGTTAGACGAATATGACGATGTGAGCGGTCGTTCAGCTGCTTACGCAGCTGTTTCACGTGACCGACGAGCACACCCCCATCTCGCAGCAGGCCTACCCTTGGATCGTGATGACCTCACAGGAGCCCACTCGACTGTTCTTCTTGTCCATTTGTCATCATCTCTTCTCGTTATATAAAGGGCCCACCGAAATTTTGGTTCTTCATGTATTCCGCCAAATCACGCAGTGGGGATATTCTGCGCATATCGGAGCTGTGCAGTCCAGCTCGATATGTATTGAGTGCACCGGTTGAACCGCAAAAGACATCGCTCAAGCGCTCTGTAACTTGTGCTCAAAGCCCTCGACGTGGATGCACTGGTGACGCGTCGAACAAATTAGTATGAAGTTCCGGGTCAGCCAGATGGTTGGTGGCCTCTTTCAAAGATTCGAAGGCGCTTTCTGCCGTCTCGTTAGTTCTTCCCTCATTTCGTTGTCCGTATTAATGGAACGCCCGAAAAAAACGTAGGACGTAGTCGCCTTGATAGGTGTACCATGGATCTTTATTTGACCTTCGTCAGCCCAAGCATTCTTCATGAACTGCGTCTTTGTTTTGTTGATCCGCAGCCCTACCTTCTTCCCTGTTTTATTGAGCTCAGTAAGCATAGCCTCAGCATCTGCAATGCTGCTTGAAAAAGGAACAATGTCGTCCGCAAAGCGGAGTCAGAGAGGAACCGTCCATCCACACGAATGCCCTTTTCGTCCCGGTCTAGCGACTTCACAACCCACAGTAGTGCGGCTGCGAACAGCTTTGACATAATAGAGTCGCCCTTCCCTATGGGAATGGGGAGAGATCGTTGGAACAGCTCCACCGTCGCGCTACAGCCACTACTATGGTAGCTAAGTTCCTATACGCTATGGGTCGACCCGTGCTGACAGAACCGCATTCGACGCTGTCAAAAGTTTTTTCATAGTCAACAAAGGTGAGGAAAAGAGGCATTCGGAATTCTCGGCACTATTTGATGACCATTGCGATGTAGTCTAAACAGCAGAAACTCGCCGGAATCAAGCCTGCTCTACAGGTTTAATATCCAACGTCCAGCGTTCGCGATATGCGGGTTAGAGTAATCTTCGTGAATAGCTTGTAAAGCACACTAAACAAGCTTATTCGCCAGTAGATGCGAAGGCCACCCTGGTCTCCTTTCTTGTCTTGTGGAGTTTGACCATCCACGAGTTCCTCCACTAATTTTGGGTCTTCACCTTCTAGAGGTAGGATGTCATCTATGTTGCAAGAAGCGCATGATGTTCGTCGCCACCTTCATGGAGTAGGTCAGCTGAGATCTTGTCAGCCGATCTTGTCAGAGTTGTGCCCCTTTTCATGCTCCAATCGCAACTCTCGCCTTAGAAGGAAGGATCCGAGAGACTTCCGCAAATGGGGATTTAGTTTTCACACGTGCGTCATGGATCGGTACAGGTTGGTGTACAGCCTCCGTGTAATTTCCTCCATTCCAAATATCGATGTTGTAAGTGTCCCGTAAAAGTAAGTGTTCGAAACGAAAGCTGAGTAATGTGGTCTTAAAGATCCCGATGACATCTTTTTAGACTCTCCTCTCTCTGTGTAGCTAAAGGTCTCGCCGCACTGCTGATATTCGCCTGCATTGTTTCAAAGTGTGTGGAGTTCTGGTCAAGCTTCCAGTTTTTTCTTGTCCCAGGAGGATCCTTCGTCGCATCTGAAATGTGAGCGGAGTATACACTCGATGAAGCTTGGCCTATTCAGCACAAGTGAAGGGACCCCGAACCATTGCATCGCAGTCTTCGGTCTCCTGTTTTATCAAATATGTCTCAAGTAGGAAAAAACTGCTCATAGCCGGGAAATAGTTGGCAATCGAGTGTTTAACAGAATAAGAGCTATAATCGACTAGATTGCTGGAAACGAGAAACGATAATAAAATATCGTAATGAACTTTTAGCTCTCCTGAATTGGCATAGAAGTGGTTCAAAGGGGGAGCCTAAATACCTTCAGTTTCGACCAATCTCGACTGTTAGATGTACACGGTGAAGGCATCGTAGTGGTTATCATATATATGAGTCATAACAAAGCGAGAAACAATGGCACCGTCAATTCGAAGGAAAATTCGATCGAAACCCTCCTTTCGCGTGATTCAAAGGAAAATTCGATTTGAATCCTTCTTTCGCGTGATGAAGAACCAGCTGGTGAGGGCGTTCGCCGCCATTTCGATGCCGACGCCTAGCGACGGTGGCGACAACTGCTCACTAACTTTTCTGTTGTAGAGTGGAATTATTAGTAAGGAGGTCTACAAAAGCTGAAACGGAACCCCAAAGGATCTGCACACTCATTGATTGAAGAACCCGCTAAATTGATTTCCTATGATTATAAACTATGTGACAAGCGAGAGGATTTCCCATAATTATAAAGGGTGACAACCGAGAAGGTCCCTTTTCACGGCTAAAGAATGTGAAAAAAGCTAGTGCTTCGGAGCTCTGACAGTATGATTTTTTCCGAAATAGGCCGGTTCAACTGCATACTCAGTCGTCAATTCTAGTAGATATCAAGTACAACTTCCATATCGAAGTTATTACGTTCAGCTGATACCTGCTCTGGTGGTTCAGTGGATCACGATTTTATGGAGTATTTCTTGAAAAGAACGTGCACAATAATTAGTGGGAACCTCCACTTGAAAGATCTTGACGGTCAGTCTTGTGAGATTAAATTTCGTAAATCCTAATCTTTACAAGTGAACAAGGCCCTACATATTCTGGGAAACTTTTGAGAGCTTGCTATCTCCGGTACTATTCAGGTTGGCAACAGAGTTCTTTCTAGGATCGCAAGGACTTGAAGAACTGAGTCGTATCAGAAAAATCAGCGGGGGTGCACTTATTTTTGAGGATAATTATGGAATCAAGTCAATATCGTTCCTAAAAAATCTTGAAGAAATCGACAACTCACAGGCGGAAAGTTAGGCTTGTTTTTTTCCTTTCTCCAAAATGCATGAAATAAGAAAACAAAAACTTCTAGTGTGTAGTTTAACCCATTGACGACCGCGTGGCCCGTCGGTGGGCCACACCATATCGTGCTCCTGNCACTCATTTCTAACTACAGTTATAAAAGAAATTGAAAGTTAATGTAAGGACAATATAAAAGGCGCAGTCGCCAATGGGTTAAGGACGGTAAGAGAAATCCAGAATCTGATATTGTGGGGTAGATGAAGGCTGTCTGTCGTTCCATGGTCGTCGTCGTTGAACTCTTAGAGACCCATTAAAAGCATTCGTCGCTAGAGCATAGCAAGTGAAATGACTCAGCGTTTTCATCCAGAGTTGCTCTTCAAAATGCACATAGTATTGGAAACGTGGAGGCTGCTTTCCAGCCTCAAATTCTGTATTACTTGGGATCGGTTTGCTTTCACTTGGGTGAATACCCGAATAAATCCAAATCAAAAAATAAGAGCGATTCTTCTCACGAACACTGGTCGAGTAGTGAATTCTATCACAATTTGAAATTAGTCAATACAGAGGGAATTATGACTTCGAACAGACTAAAAGTAACTTTTCGAGTTCCACAAAATCATGCGCTTCAGCCGGAGCGTCAGCCGGTGGTTGAATCATTGCCCAAAGTACTACGGTCTGCGCACACGCACATGAAAAACCTTGCTAGTGGTATCTCCTTGCTAACAATTGGCAGTGGCTGTATATATATAGTAAAGATTGTTGTGGGGTTGCGCCCTCTTGCTACTCTGCAAACAGACCCTATGTAAACGAATATGTGCTACAGCATTATAAGGAAGCATGTGGATGTATTCTGAGTTCCGAATTTCAGCGCCTGCTCTTTTTATCTCCAATAATATCGGCTTTGAGACTATTGGACTTCCGTCACTGCGGCAAATTGTGTCGGCAGGTTATGGCCCTATCATTGAGATATATTCATTAAGTGAAATTTCAAAGGAAGACGAAAATAGACTCCGAAATCTTGTTGGCGAGCGTTATGAAATTCGCTACCACATTTTACCAGTTGAACAAGAAGAACACAACACAATACTCAGTACGTCCTTGTTTTTTACACGGTCCGTCAAAACATTTTCACGTGCACTAAAGCATTCTAAGGAATGAGCGAAGGCTGCGTCGATTGTTTTGTATTCCTTATTAGCTAGTCAAACTCGTCTTTTTTGACGGCTGTGCCCAGTGGCGCTACCATTCCTCGTCGCCCAAGCTTGGTAATCAGCTTATCGAAGTGGCCGAGTAGGATCACAGAATTGGTAGATAGCAACATATTTTCAGCTCAACTTCGAAGAAGTTTAGTGTTTCTTGACCAGGTCGAGAGGAAGTCAGTGTATCATACGTTTTGCGTCTACGATCAATTATTTTCAGATAAAAATGTAGATAAAGCGTTGCGCTTTAAAAATCATCTTTCGATTCCGCGCTCGCGGAGGGTATATTAAGTAAGATGTGTAATAGCGCAGTAGTGGCATCTCTCTTATCGGGAACATTGGTCAAATATCCTTCAAATTCAGTCCGTAGCACTGTTGAACCCTCAATGTGGACGTAATAATTCAACTCAGATTTCTACACACTTTGCTGCTTCCTACATCAATGCTAGGATAAGACTTAAAGGGATAGTTCTCTGTTCTCAGTCTTTTTCTGACACATTCGGGTATTGCATCGGATTACAGAGCGAAAATGTAGATGCAGGAAAATAGGCGGCGAAGAAAACGAAAAGGTCGTGATGTTCCGGAATACAGTCTTTTTTCGAGCTAGTCATTTCTCGGTTTGAATGAGGTTAGAAAAAAGGAAGGCTGTTGGATGAGATTTCAGTCGCTGTAGAGCATAGTGTCTTAGCTATTAGCATGTATCAGCTGCATGCATTTACAACAAACGTGCTCAATTTCAAACGATGTTAGCTTTTTTGAAGCGGATAAACGCGTCCTTTTACAGAAGAACCAAGGTGCAGTTGGCATTGGGACCGGTTCCTAGGAGCATGCTGCGTCCTGTTAAGGCCCGGCAATGTTTTGATTGGCCTTTTCAGAGCCCATACATTCTTACCATCAAAAGGACATCTAGACCGTATTATTCGAATTTTCTTAGCATTTTCTGACTCATCTATTTAGTGGTGATAATAATAACCTCTGGAGTAGCAACATTGGCAATCCTGGCTGTTGTAATAGTTTTTATGATATATAGGAAGGAAATGAGCAGGAAAAAAGAAGAGGTTAGTTGAATGAACTCAACACTTCGTCCTCAACTTCAACTGAGTAAGTCGAAAACTGTTAAGATGAAAGCTCCTGAACTTGCTGTATCGGAGGAAATTAAAGAGATTCCAGCCAGAGCTCCTCCTGGATCAGCAGAGTTGACGACGTCAAATTAAGAAGACGCTTAAATACGTGCCCAAGAATATTAACAAATTCAATCTCTCTGACTTTTTCATTTGTTGATATAAAACAGTATCCTCATGTTGATCTTTAATTGTAAAAACAATAAATTATATTAAGCAAGATTTTTGGATGTTCCGCTGGACTGTAAATATGTGTAAACAAGAACGCAACAACAAGAACAAGAATCAAAAAGAACCCATATTATTTATAAGTGACGGCCAAATTACTAAACAACTAACTCATTACCTCCCCTTCTGGTCAGACTACAGAGAGCGGACGAAAACTTCATCACCACACGTCAAGCTACCTTTAAGAAAGAGTGAAGCCTAATAGACGTGCTGAAAAGTCTCAAATATCGAGTCATAATGAATACCCACATGACTCAATGGAATGATCTGGAATAATAACCGCACTGCGCGAATTCGTGCGTCGCGGCGACGGCTGCGAGCGGGGTATGTGTACGAACGTGCGTCCTAGGATGCGCGCGGCAAATTGCGCGGCGAAGTTCGTAACTATTTGAACGACTTTAGCGCCTATCATTGGGGCCCAAATTTAAAATAGAGTGGATTAGGAGGATCATTTGACCCTACTAAACTGCTCTACTTCGAGTTTGTGCCCCAAAAATTGGCGCCGCAGTCGTACAAATCGTCACGAACTTCGCCGCGCAATTTGCCGCGCGCACCCTCGGACGCACGTTCGTACCGTCCCCCCTGCGAGTATGGTCGCACCAACAACGGGACGTAGGCCGTTACACAACGCAAACTCTCAGGGTAGCCAGTAACGACATAACCAATACAAGAGTAACATGTCCTAAGGAGACTCAAGTAGTTGGGTATCCCTTTTGAAGCAACCAAGTAGGAAACATTATCAGCCGCAAAATCATGATATCATTTATACCAGTTCCATAGTTTTACTGCATCAACGAACGACCGAAATGACATCTTATCATTGCTACAGTATATAAATGGCTACGTGCGTGATTGTTGTGCTCGTGGTGGTCTGTGTGTAAGTGTCGCGAAGTCCTTCTAGGTGGGAATTTCGTCACCCACACGAATAATCTCCTTCCCTCCAGAAATAGGGCATTTAAACCCAAGGTAGTAGGAGTATGGTGGGAATCTTGGGCATTTGGAAACGATCCATGCGATTAGAAGCGCAATCGACCTGGTACTTATGATATAGCTCTCTTTAATCTCGAATGTTTAAATCGAGGACCGTAAGAGACCTATATATTGGGAATTTTGCTCTTCCGTGGGAAGGGTGAGATCTTCCGGCGTTGAAGTGCTCTCAAAACCGGCTTCCTGAATCGTAGAGGATTCCTGTAATCTATAACAACCTCTTTAGTGTTTGCCGAAAAAATGATTCAACAATGCTATTTATTTGTCCCTGCCAGAGTGATTCATTCAGAGCAAATCAGAGCAGAGTCCAATAGGGCTGATTTTAAACTTACGTATTCCTCGAGTTATTGCAATAATCAAAGATCGATTTTTGAAAAAGTATTTTTTGTTTTTGTGCTGCAATTAGGTCAGATATCCGACCTTCAGGCTCTACTCAGTACTTTAGATAGGGGGAAACGCGGCGTGACCGGCATGAGCCTAACGATTGCCTAGCAACGCCTTATGGTCGCGCTTCTGTTGACATCTGCTGGTTATGTGTTCCACAAAAATCGTGAACTCCCTCCATTCAAAATTTGTTTCTTCTGTCATGGCATACTCGAGCATACTTATGTGATTCAATTGGGAATTCAGCGATGCTTTTCAGCGGTTGCACAATGTTGAGTACTCTGCCATCGGGCAGCCTGTAGAGCTTCCCAGACACATGACTACATTAGTTCAGCTGCGAATAAATAGAGCAGACAGACACTAGTAATTGGCCCTCTTCGTCGTTTCGTTTTCGTTGGCAATCACATTCCTTTTTCGAAAAAGTGAGTTTTGTCTCCGCAGTCACCTCAAAGTTCAACAGAATCGCTTTGGCAGTATGGGAATGCAAAACCTTTTTCATTTATGATAAGCCTAGTAATCACATTCCTTTCCTAGTAGAGGAAAATCCTTCATTTAAGTCAGGCAGGCGCAGATTTCCCGGTCTTAAAGAACCGTTTTCTAAGCATCAGTCACCTTTAATCCTAACAAAACTGTAATCACTCTAATAGTATGGGAATGCAAACTATATCAGATTTAAACGTATCGTTTTTCTTTCGAATTCATCCGGGGTTAATGTTGCTAATGTACGTTTGAAAGTTGCGGCACTCATAAAAACACTCGTAAGGATTATCTTCCTTTCCTTCCATTTCAGTTTTGAATGCCGGATGTCGGCGCTTGTCAACGACTGGTACGGTAATTTTCTCTCACGACGGGTGGTACCATTACGTCGAGATTTACCGCCAGACGCCATTACTGAAGGATATGCAGTAGTGATACGAAAGCTAAGACTGACGAAGGTTATTTGAAGCTTTCGACTTTACTTATTTGATGTGTGGTTCTTTTGATGAATATTTCTAGCTCTCTCATACCGCTACCTACCAGATTTCATGTTACTTCTTCGATGCAAAAAGTAGCCAGTTTTTTGGCAGTCCTTATCGATCCGTTGATCGACCTCACACACGAAACGAGTGCAACATTGATGAGGTAGTTGGAGTTGTTTCTCAGTTTACAACTAAGCACATTATGAAAGTTTGTTGTAAACTTGTGCGAAGCTGAATTTTATCAAGTTACCTAATAAGTATGACTGTACTATTTTTCTGTTCCCTAGCGGCCAAAGGGTCACGCAATTCTCACCTCAGTGAAGATGTAGTTGGGTAAAGAGGTCATCCCTCCTTACAGCACTGATGGCCGAAGCGAAGGGATGGAGGGATAGCCGGCTCTGCGAGTCAGTAATGATGTTTTCTGAACAAAATTAGAACGCAGCTGGTTACATTTCTGGAAAGAAGTGAATATGTGGTCAACTGAATGTTTGAATGCAACCCCGGCGCTCCTCTCCTTTTGAGGCTCAGTTAAAACCTTGTACTTCCGTGGTCGAAAGACGTTTCCTAGAACTATGACAGGCTGTTTGAGCTGGACCCCTCCTTCTTTGTGCTCTAGCGCTCAGTGTTGATAAACAGAGAACGCTCGCTATAAATACATCTACACCCTTCCTCCTTCGCAATAGAGATTAACGGAAAACAAAAAACCAAATTTTTCAACCCAAATAGGGCTACTCATAAAGGTGGGGGGAGGGGGGTATCATTTGGTGTAATCGATCGACACCAGATGGGTACATGCTCAGCGCCGCGACCGCGCGCATGAATGTACTTTGTCTTGACATCTGGTTGTAATTACTGATCACATACAATGAATTCTTTATTGTTCATTCGTTAGCTGCTTTGATTTCACTAGTTCTTCTCCCAGAATATTCTTCAAAGATTTCATTTCAGGACCTATTTTTCCATTGTCCACATCTGGACGATGCCGTATATTTGGTAATCGAAATAGTTGAGACCAGCAAAGGCCAAAACCAGTCGATAACTGTTGCTTGGGGACTGATCGCAATCAGCGGCTATGGAGAAACGATTCTGGACTACGCTCGAGTGCCACCCGATTTCGAGTTACAGAGGTCGATAATCTTCATTATATTTATACTTTCGGTGTCCGCTTCAGAGCGTTCTGCAAGTGAAATGTTGAGGCAGTCATTTTTTGTGCAAAGTTCCCAATGTTGTCGAGTGTGCCGAAACCAATAGAAAAGAATTATTTAATTAATTCTCTCGATAAGGAGGTTACGAACAACATTCAACAATTCAACTAAGTGTTATAGGTGATCGTGGTCAATTAGACCCTCATTGTTTTTATTTAATTCAACAACTTCAGAATCAAGCTCTATCCTGGCAGCCCGAAAGTGCTAACGTTCAGTACAAAATCTTATGATGATTCAACTGCATCTGGTTCTCTGGAATGTTCACTTTATTCCCACACGCGACTCACCACTGCTGTCGACTATTTCCCGGAATTTTGTATAGTAGGAAATCGTTACGAAATCCCTGGTCTAATGAGCAGTGGAAAAGGTTCGGTTCAAAGCTTCAGATTTTTATTTCTTCTGAACAGAGGTACCAGTATTGATCGCTATGGCCTTAGGATGAAGTCGAGGTCACATCTCCCGGTAGCGGAACATGTAGGCAGCAAGGTTCAAGAAACGGGATGAAAAAGGGATTGCGATCACTCTTGTTCCGTTTTAACGACATCCGTTTTCCTCGTCAAGATTAACCACTACTGTTTTCCATTTGAAACTAATCCCTTACAGAATCGAACTTTTAATGCATCTTCTGATAGCGGTTCACCAGGGGGGAGGAGTTCATACATTGAGAAGCAGATTAAAGAAAAGATATGTCTAGACGAATGTATCCTTATGGCGATGTATAGAAACCTTCATTGCCTGTGTTTATAAAATCCCCACTTTCAAGGACCTCAGCTAGCCGATCCAACTCCAATGTCGCAAGTAACCTCGACGTTGGACGAGATTTCGCTTTCGTTCGGACCTCATGCGGAACGGATTGAGAAATTGATTCTGGACGATGTGAGGAGGATAACACATTTTGATTCTCTTCGTCTCTATTCATTTGTTGCATTCATTCGAAGCCTATTGAACTGCCAGCGTGCATGCCATCCAGGTGAGGCGTGCATGCTTTTCGGCATTACTACAGATCGCTTGTCTTAAGCTCTGCTTCGGTTAAAAGGGTCCACAGAAGTAGCATTTGACTGCTTCTCCGAGTGGTGACTCTGCAGTCATAGAGGACACACTTGAAAGTCGTATCTTCACTTACGCAAGTGCAAGTAAAGTAATTAGTAGAATCACATATTTTTGGATGTAGACGCATTTTTCTAGATTTATTTGGAATTGCTTCATGGAACATTGATTTTACAGATCAACACTGATCGTTTGTATCGTGAAAATCATGCTCCCGCAGTAAGGATCGAACCGATGCAAGTAATCGAACGAAGGCTACGAGTAAGTGATGTGAACGAGACTCTATAACCGTCACAGGCTCCATTCTCAGATTGGCATCCATAATGGTTTCGCTTTTCTGTCTGAACCGTTGGTGGTTCATCTTTCATCCATCGATGAGCAGCTACGTGGCACACATTCGCTTCGTCGGAAAGGTCGACCGTTGAGCCGGAGCAGCAGCGACATACGGTGAGTCGACTAGGTCTTATGAATTCACTGAGATATTCAGCGGGGAACTAAATGCTTATTAGTGCATACAGTGACTGAGTCTCAAGCATTGAGCAGTGGATATCGCGTGGTGTCTTGATTGTAGTCATGAAGCCGTTCTAAATTCATACTTCACAATTTGTTACTGGATGGAATGAAACTAAACTGGAACGAAGGTGCTGTAGTGGTAAGTGGCACACTATCTCACACGCAGGTCACGGGTTCGAAATTCGGATCGATATCAGCCTAGGCCAACCAAGCCCCCCATCCCTCCGGGGTCGGTTGATTGGTACCGGGCTCGTCTGAGAGGATGACAGCACTCCCTTGTTCATCGGCCTAGCCGCCGTAAGTCATGGCATTCAATACGCCACTACGATTCTGTATGAAAATCGAATGCGTTGGAGCATCCCTCAGACGGGATTGATTATTGCTTCAAGACTTTTTCCTTTAACTTTTATGAGAGTGACGATGCTTGAATGTATCACGCTACCTGTCTATGTAGTTCGGAAGATATGTAGCATCGAGTTTAATTGATATTGCTATCAGCACCAGTACAATTTCTCCAACCAGAAAGCCTGAGAAGAACCCATAGTCATGGTCTGAGTGCACGCGGTAGCTTCGGAGAACTTACTGAGTGTGCTCGAAAGAAATGGATAGGGGTAACGAGCTTCAAAGTGGCGCAAGTTTGTTGCACAACAGTAATTGGAAAAAGTGAATGGCGCAATATTTAGATCTGAGATAAATACTTTATTCGTGAGACCTCGCGTGTCATTGCCGAAAATGGCCGACGACGAACGATTGGTCATTGTGTTTGCCCTTGATTACTTATTGGGCACAAGAGCAGGCGATGTGAGTTTTCCTTCATTCTTATAAACTAATATACAGCCTGGCGACAAATCGAGCTATAACACTACGCAACTTTCACTAAAAAACGATCACAGGAGCAGAGAGACAGGAGAAAAACTTTGATCTTTTACTCTTTTTGGGCCTAGTTCAAGCTCCCTTCGTCATTAGTATTGGAGCAGTTTGCCCGCAAGACCTTGCGCTTGGTAATGGAACTCTTCATTGGGGCATATTACTTAGTTAGCATATTCATGTACATTGAATAACTGCGACTATCATACCCTACTTATTACTTGTTACTTGTACTCATGCAAAAAAGATTCTGTGAGAAAACACTGATGGATCCATATTTTCAGAAGGCAATCCTTAACAGTCAGTCGGTGATCATTTGCTGGGGAGCCTGGCAGCCGTTTGCGAATCGTTCGCAATTGAATCTCAATGGTCACGTCCAAGCCTCAGGTACTCCAACTCGATATACTCAAAACAGCATGAGCCTTTAACTTGGCGTCCAGCCAATCAATTTTTT